GCGCGGCGCTCCGGGGAGGGGAGGAGGGGGCGGGGCCCAAGGACTCCCATTGGTCCGTGGCAGGACTGTCCCGCCCACAGACTCGACAGGATCCCTCCCAGAAGCGCGTCAGCGGGTTATTGTTACAACCCGGGGTTTCCCGGGGCAACGCTCCTGGGGCGGGGCTCAGCGCACTGGCCCCGCCTTCTACACCCCCTGAAGAACTTCCCGACCTCTGTTTTTAGACCCTGAGATTCCAAGTCTTCATTCCAGAAACCCAGTGGAGATCTAACTCCTCTTTGTGCCCTAGAATGGGCTAGGGAAAGGAATGATTTGAAAATACTTGACTTCTAGGCCAGGCTTTGCCACAATCCTAGTTTCTCCTGCAAATGGGGTCTTCACGGGCTTTTATGGTGCCTATGGGCAAAGTTTTAGAGCTCTTGTTCTCAAAGTTCATTCAACATGTAATAGAATTATCCTGGACAGCTTGTTAAAACAGATCGACGTGTCCCAGTCCCCGAGTTTCTGATTTGACAGATCTAGGTTGGAGCCAAAAGTTTGCATTTCTAGCTAGTTCCGAGGTGATGCCCAAGGGGCCGCACGTTGCAAACCACTGTCTTAAGAGTCTTGGAAGATTCTTACAGGGACTGTTGGAAAAAGTGCTTCCCACAAAGTTCAGAGTATTTGAGGAAAAGCTTCTCATTCATTGAACTGGTGTTTATTGAGCACCTCGGATACACCTGATGTTGTGCAGGGCACTATGGGAACAGCAGAGACAGACAAATGATGTCCCTCTTGCATAGACCAGTAGAAGTCAGACGGTAGTCAGATCATCAAATGATCGATGAAGGGTGAGGCTAGCTGAGAGGTTGGGCAGTCCAGGACTTTATCCCACAGGGTACTAGGCTTGATTTGCAGCCTCCACTCTTATGTATCTACCAGCCTTCTTTCAGGGTATGCCCTCTGCCTAGAACATCCTTTTCCCTCTTCAAGGTCCTCATGCAAATGCCTCCCATCTGCAAACTCAGCTTATGTGTCAACTTAACCCTGACACTTCCCTAACCCTACCTCCTACACATACATATCTCCATGCCCTGTCCCGCCAGCAATGCTTTGTGTCCGTTTAGCACAATATTCCTGTTTTGTCAATCAGGAAACTGAAGCCAGAGTGGGGAGGTAATGCTCAGATAGCAAGTTCAGCACTAGAATCCCAGGTTCCTAACCTGTCCCCAGGCAGTACAATGGGTCCTGGAGGGGCTGGAAAAGCAGAGTTCTCTGGCACAGTTGGGATACTGTGCTCCAGCCACCAGGGACAGCCCTCCTTTCTCAAAAATTCCTTCCTCCTAGCTTAAGACCTGGGGACTAGGGCCAAGAGTGAGGGTGGGGTGGAACTCAAGGGGCTCCTTCTCACCCCCTTGGGTGGGAGCAGGCCCTGCTTGCAGATGCCTGGCATGCCATCTGCCTGAGTCACATCCAAAGGCAAGAGTAGGCATGGGAACTGTTGCCCCCCACACATACACCCTCCAGGTGGTTTTGTTTAAGCCACAAGGGGTTAAAATCACTGCTGAACCCCCTCTGACAGCTCTCATGTGCCCTTCCTGCCTGGGAATCCCACACTGGGAGCTGCTCCTGTAGGTACCCTGGAGACCCAGCAAGCCTCCTGCTATACTCCACCCCTGGCCCAGCTCTAAGTGTCAGATGGGAGTTTGCTGGGGGCCATAATAGGGCTGGGAGGATCTTTAGCTGGGGTCCCTGGCACAGGCTGCCACTGCAGGGCTGGGAAGTCAGGTGCCCCACGTGCTGACTCAGACTCTGCTCAGTCCCTGCCCTGCCCAGCGTCCACAGCTACTGCCTGCCCTCTCCTCTGGGGCCCATGTCTGGCACACTCAGGCCACACACACATTCAACACACCCATTGGTGCATTTGTAATGACATTTGTTTTCACTCACAACTTGGCCCTGCTCACACATTCATCACAGGCAGTCTAACAGTGATTAGTAGTATGGGCAAGTTCTGTAGCTGCTCAAAGCCGTGGTTTCCTACTCTCAACAGGACTTATACAGCACTACCTCCACAGGACAAGTGAAGAATGAAATAAGATTCTGAATGTCAGCACTAGGCTGGGAATAAGTGCTCTGTAAACACTTGTTTTTATATTACTGTTGATTATTTATATCTTCCCCTCCTACTTTTTCCAATTCATGCACTCCCACCTATTCTCACTACACACAAACACACACACACACTCTCTCTCTGTCTCTCTCTCTAAGCACACTTGCCACGCACCCTATACTTTTGTGCCTATTACTCAACCCCACCTCTTCCCCTGATTCTCCTGACCACCAGAGCCCACCTCCCCTTCCTCACACAAGCTCTTCAGCTCCTGTTTGCCCTCAGTGGCAGTGACTCCCACATCCCTTCCTGCTCACCAATAGGCCCCACTGTTGACACTTTCATTCCTCCTCCTTCCACACTCAGGCGTGATTGCTTCCATGCCTTCCTGAGTGCTCGCTCACACACTCATTTTGTGTATTTCATTTACTTGACCCCTACCTAGATCACAACACTTGTAGATATACACCCAAACAATTCCAGCAAACTCCTCACAACCTCAAGTGGTCCACCCCACAATTATAAGCACATATCTCTCCCAGTGCACACACCACCCAGACCACAGGGACCCTCACCCACCCCAGGAACTTATCCCCTCCCTGCTGCTTTCCCTCCTAGGGCTCAGCTCCTGGCCTCTCCCAACTCTCAGAATAGCCCCTGCTGCCGCTGCTGTTGCTACTGCTGAGCTGTCTGGGCCCGCCAGAGCCGTGACCCCAGTGCTCACGCCAGCTCTCCCAGCTCACCCAGGGCATGTGAGGACAGGAGGTCTGACAGGCATAGCTGCTCTGTACCCACACCATCCCACTTCCGGAACTCACCCAGGAGACAGTCAACTTTTAGGATCGACTGCTGCCACATACACAGGCTTTATTGGTGTCCCTTGGTCCCCACCCCCCCCCACCCCGTGGAAGCAGAGAGGTGGCTTCTCACCATAAGCTCAGAGAAGCAGAGGTCTGGCAGGAAGAGATTTCCTGGGGCCCAACCAGACCCAACCAGCCTGACCATTCCCAGCCTTTCCAGGGGAGTTTCAAAGGACCCTCCCTAAGCCACCTAGTTATCAAGAATCCCACCCTGCCTGTACAGCCCATTTGATATTGGATGCCACAGTTGTCAAGGAAAAAGAATAGCTTGGGGGTGATGAATGGGACACCTCTGGAAGGGAGGCAATGGCTCTGCCCAGAGGACACCTTGGGGGGAAGAATGGGGAGTGGCTGAGTAGCCAAAGGGGAAATCAGGACAACAGAGAGCGGCTCCAGGGCAGGCTCAGGCCTAACCCAGGCAGGGACGTTGTCAGGAAGTGGATGGGGCTGAGCTGGGAAGGGATGGCTGGGGGGACAGTGCAGCAAGGGGGGCTCCCCAGGAGAAAATCAATGCCCCTTCAGCTGCCTCTGTAGACTGCCTGGGTCCCACAGCTCTACTGGCTTTCGAAAGGCGACTGGGAATAGCCACTGCTAGGTGCCCAGGAACAGACCCCAGACCCTCAAGGAACTTGTTTGCCTTGATCAGGGAGTTGTACTGGCAATTCGTGCCAAGGTGAGCCTTCTTACAAGAAAGTCAGCTTCACACACCACCCTGTTCAATCCTACAGTCTTGTCCCCCTGAGTTCCACTAAGTACTTACGAAAGGCCAGCCCTATGGGGCACTTACCTCTGCTATGTCACCAGGACGAAGAGGAGGGGCTGGCACAGAAGAGACCTTCCATAAAGCAGGTTGAATGAAAAAAAATGAAATAATTTCATTCTCACAACTACCTGAAAGGCAGATACTATCATTGCCATTTTCTGGTTGAGGGAAATGAGGCTCAGAAAAGGGAGGTAAGCAATTGCCTCCTGAGACTCAAACTGGGGTGTGGATTTGCTTCTTGTGTAAGGGGAAAAATGAACTTAGAAGCAAATAGCTTCTCTTCTCTGTACCTCAGTTTCCTTATTTTATTTGTAAAATGGGAATGCTTGCCCTTAACTGGGGGACAGTCGTGATCCTATA